AGATTTTATTGCTGAAATCCATAAAGGTAAAACCACAGATGGCAAGCTGAATATATTGTAGGTGATAGAATGGAATATTATAACCATTCCTAGAAATCATAACATCAACAATATGGGTGATGAATGTGTTCTGCAATAGTTCAGTTCTGGCTGTCTCTTTTTTAAATTATTTAGGACCAGGCAGAGCCTCCAAAATGCTCTGGTGGTAGCGAGGTTAGAGCATCAACAGCTGATGTTCATAGTTTTTCCACTGAAGGTTATTTGCTATGTTTTATAGGTAGGTGACTACCATGGATGTGACTCCTGCTTTACCTGTTATCTTTGATTTTTGCAAAAGGATAGATGCATTTGCCCAAACAGCATTCTGCTCTGAGCAAGTCAGTGCTCTAGTGGTCTTCTCTTTGTAATCCAGACTGGCAACTGTGTCAAACTTCTTGGCAGTACTTCACAAAGATGGCATTTATGTTTAAGGAAGGTGATGCATTGTGAAAGCTGTCATGTTATATTGTGCTGATGGAGGAGCCAGCTGGAATTACCGAGCTAGAACTCTCTTCAATCATTGTAACCTGTGATTTCTGAACTGAAAAGTGTTTTCTTTTGAAAGCTGGTGAAAATGGATTTTTAGGTACTTTGAGGAAAAGATGATACAAATACTGTAAATATTAACCATTGAATATTTCATACATAGGGAGCTTTGTCTAAATATGTCAACTGTAATAACACTTCAGACTTAATTTTTGTCCAGGAAGATAAACCCATGAAAAAAGATGTAAAAATAACCGAGGTGCATGGTATCTAGCTCAACCAGTTAAATTTCTGACTGACCTGCCTTTTTTTACTGAATGCAACCTAAAATACAATTCTTGGATGAAGAAAAAAGTCTGATTATAGCCTTGTAGCTGGCAGCCTTGTTCTTCAGCCCTTCATTTCCTCTGATTTCAGTTACATTGGTACATATTGAGAGGCCGTATTCAAGGGGCACAGTTGAATATGGTGGTAATGTTTGGTAGGTAATGAGGTAGGTGGGTAACCAATACTAATTTCATAGTGTCTTGCCTGCCTGCAAGTCATGTACGGGTGAGAATTAGATGAGGAAATGGGATTAGGGGCACAATGGGTCTTGCCTTTGACTGTCTATCCTAATGTTTCCTATGTAGTTTTAATGTACTAATGTGCTCTGCAGGTGCAGTTAGGAAGAGGTAAATCCAGACAAGGCCCTCCCTTCAGAAGTGTGAGCTACCTGTGTGAGCAGTGAGTGTGTCAAGAGGTAAATCTTATAGCTGAGTCCTTGGTTTTACAGAGCTCCACTGCAGTGCCATCTCATTTGCTTGCGTTTTTAACTTTCTAGAAGATGTGGTATAGTAATGGGTGGGATTTGCTTACTAATATAATGTCTGTAAGACATACTTTGACCTTATGAGTATTTGGAAAACTATTCAGATGTAGCAGATGAACAAGTAGCCTAGGTGTTTTTTGGTGTGTGAGACTTTTCACTCTTGAAAAAAAAAAAGAGTTCTCAAACATGCTTTCGTTGCAAAGGCCATGTAGGAATAAGACACCTGGAAATGTGTACTTGCAGCCCAGAAAATCAATTACATCCTGAGCTGCACTAAAAGCAGTGTGGCCAGCAGGTCAAAGGAAGTGATTCTGCCCCTCTTCTCTGCTGTGGTGAGACCCCACCTGGAATACTGTGTCCAGCTCTGAAATCTCTAACAAAAGAAGTACATAGACCTACTGGAGTGAGTTCAGAGGAGGCCACAAAGATGGTCTAGGGGCTGGATGACCTCTCCTATGAAAACAGGCTGAGAGAGTTTGGGCTGTTCAGCCTGGAGAAGAGAAGGTTCTGGGGGACTTTAGGGCAGCCTTCCAGTACCTGAAGGAGGCCTACAAAAAAGCTGGAGAGGGATTTTTTACAGGAGCATGTAGTGTGATGGGATAAGTGGAAAAGGTTTCAAACTGAAAGAGAACAGGTTTAGGTTAGATATCAGGAAGAAATTCTTTACTATGAGGGTGGTGAGACACCAGAAGAGGCTTCTCAGAGAAGTTGTAGATGCCCCATCCCTGAAAGTGTTCAAAGCCAGGCTGGATGGAACCCTGATCAACTTGGTCTCATGAAGGTGTCTCTGCCCATGGTGGGGTTGTTGGAAGTAGGTGATCTTTAAGATCCCTTCCAACCCAAACCATTCTATAATTCTATGATTGCAATTTGTTGTTTCTCACACAGTTTATTGACTTAGAGAGGCCCTCAAAGAGCAACCACATGGAAATGCAACCTTGCTCTGTAGTGCTTTGCTTTTGATTATGCCTGGAGCCTCATTCATTGTTCTAAGTCATAAGAATTAAGTCTTGTTTAATATGTACAAGGTCACAATACATCCGCAAAAGCAGTCCCTGTATCAGTCAGTATTCATGTGTTATCATAGATCACAAATTGGTAAAGGTAAGTACATCAGAGAAGGTGAGAACCAGACAGTGAAATGAAGTCAGAGAAGACCAGAATTATGGCTCAAGCTAAATGAAATGTGAGCCAGTTATTTCATGGAGATGTTTCAGCTTTTGGTTATTCTGCTACTTCTCTTATGCAAATTAACTTTGAAAGGGTGGAAGAGGTGACAGCTTCAGGAAGCACTACTATTCATTCACATTTCTTTACCTATGCTTCATGCAGACCCTGGCACCAAGAGGGTGACCTAGTATTTAGCTATATCTAGTTATATTGTTATTCTCTCAAGCCATTAAAAAAAAAAATTAAATCTTAAGTAAGATTCCTTTGAGATTGTGAAAGTGGCTTAGAAATGCAACTTTGAAAATCATCAGTAGCAGACCTCTTTATCTGACTCGTATGCAGTTTCTGTGTGGTGTTTTTGGGCTTTATTTGAACGTGCTAGGATGTGAAATTGGGCTTTGCTTCAGATGTCCAGCAGCAAAAAAATCGCTTAGTGAACTTAATGTCATAGTTTGGAGACGTCAAAGGCAACTGAGTATGTTGCTCTTTCTTATAACCCTATCTATACAGCTGCTGTGCAGCATCTGCTCCTGGTAATTTTTTAAACCAATTCATTTTGCATTTTCAACTCTAGAATCCTGGTGACAGAAAAAACAAATTTACATATAATATAATCAATAAGAATATATTATATATTTCATTAAATTTGTGACTTTATTGTGACTATATATAGTTAAAGAAACATGAGATTGTGATCCTTACATGACATTTATGGGCTTAAAAAAATAATCATCAAATAACAAGCAGTTCACCATAAAAATGTGACCATTAGCTACCTGTTTTTAGCAGCAGCTTACAATCAGTAAAGGAGGACAGAGGCTCACCAGGTGGCTTTGCCATTGCTTTTGCTGCCTAGAGAAGTGTACTGGCTGCTCCCACAGTAGCAGGACTCAAACTCAGTCTACTCACTGTATCACAGGACAAACAGTGAGTGCCAGGATTGAATAACATTGTCCATTCCCCTATGGCGTTGCTTCTTTTCTCTGGTCATTAACTAGGACAATGGCCTAGTCCTGCAGCTCAGTCAGTAATGTCATACTGAATTATTTTAAGAAGTTAATAACTAGAAGTTTCTAATTTATTTTACTTGTGCTTTGTCTTACACAACTTTGACTAAAATGTATGCATTGGTCTTGGATATTACATAATATTTAAATGGTGATACGTTTCTCTTAAAATTACAAAATTTTCCCACATTCCACTGTTTGGAAGTGAGAAGAGAGCTAGAGAAAGAAGGATGGTTTAGATTAAAATTCAGTTTATCGATTAAGCAATTTTCAGTTTGATGTTTTAGATTTGTTATGCAAAGTTCTTAAGCATATTCATCATGGAACTAGAACACTCTAATTACTTTGCTGAAAGCTATTAGGTTGGCATAGTAAATATGAGGCCCTTATTGCAAACTAGAACACCATTTAATGAAATAATCTAAAGCCCAGTGAAATCAGTAACTCAGTACCAGATAAAGTGTCAACTGCAGTAATTTTTTTGAGATTGCAGATGTGTTGTATAATCGGAAATGAAGTTACTGGACTGGCACAAAAAAAATTGTTCCTAAAGTTGAAACACCTACATCAATCATAGAAAGCTTCTCTGTTATAAGAGTAAGAAATCTTGTATTTTATATATATAATGCAATCTAAAGACAAGATGCCACTAATATTCAGGGAATGGGTGTCAACAAATGCCGTCAGTATCTGTACAGGAGGATTTATCTTCCCACTGCGAGCTTATTCTTTCTGAGCATGAATGCCCTTTGGGAGTCTCTCTAGGCTAAGACTGTGGATATTAGTTTCTTGCCTTTTATTTAATATTTCCTGGCTCTTGTTTGTTTGAAAATTTAGTTTCATAGGGACACACTGTATTTTCTTTACTAAGCGTGTTAACCTATAGCGTCTATGAAAACCTGAAGTAATTGTACAGCCTTCTACTTTTGGCTGTCTTGAGAAAAACTGGGACCAGCCTCCTATTTCTACTGATTCCCTTTGTATATGTTCTGTTACAGTCAATTGCTCACCCATCCCATGATGTGTTTATCTAGCTGTGTGCTGGACATTTTGTCCACAAGGATACCATGAGAAACAGGATGAAAAACTTTACTGAAATCCAAAAAGATTATATCAACTGGCTTCCCCTGATCAGCTAGGCAGGTTACCTTATCATAAAAAGAAATCAGTTTTGATAAGCAGGACTTATCTCTCATGAAGCTGTGCTGGCTGTGAAGAATGACTGCGATGTCCTTTAGGTGTTTTGCAATACCTCCCGGGATAATCTTCTCCATAACTTTACCAGGCACTGAAGTGAGTCTGACAGGCCTTTAGTTTCCTTCTTGCCCTTCTTGAAAATCGGGACAACATTCACCCGCTTCCAGCCAGCTGGGACCTTTTGGGTTTGCCAAGACCACTCAATAATCATCCAGAGAGGTTTTGAGATAACGTCAGCCAGCTTTTTGAGGATTCTGGGATGAATTTCATCAGGCTCCTTTGATTTGTAGGGATCCAGCTGGAGCAGCCAGCCTTCTGCCTCATCTGCTTGACATTTTGGAATTGCCTGCTCCTGTGCCCTTAGGAGGTGATGTTTGAAAAGTGACCAGCACCTGCATCACATTAGGTAATGTTTGATTTTGCAGCATTACTGTCCCTTTTGGTTGACTAGACAACCTCTTTAGGTATTGTTAAGAGTAAAATTAAAACAATCATCTGCCTTTTTCCCCCCATTTTCTTCCATGTCTAGCTATTGCAGATACCATTTAATTTTCCAGATTTGTAGGTACTTTGCTACCTGTTGATTTTTCCTTTGCCTTTTTTAATTAATTTTTTTATTTTACTATTTTTGCTAGTTATTATCTTAATATATGTCTTTTCCTATTTTAACACAATTACCAGTTATGTAATGCACATGAAGTGCAGAGAAAACCAAATTATTTTCAAGTATCTATACACTTTAGGTAGACTGACTGATGTACACAAGTTTACCTTCCTCTGAGAGCTGAAGGCATTTGGATTTTGTGTCCAGGTCCAGTGCAAAACAGAGAAAAGAGCCAAGCTATCAGACCCTTTCCTTTTCAAAGGGAGTTGACTCTCACATCCTTATTAATTTGTCCCTAAGCTTCACAATGTCTTCCAGTGTGACATGTACAATTGTACTACTGGCAGTATGCAGACAGAATTTTAATGAAAGGGGTTGTTTTGTTTTGAATATTTTGATGAGCTCAAATGCATCAAGAATGTGCATTTCTGACAGTACGAAGTGGTACAGGACAAAGACCCAGACTTACTCTCTGTCGGAGAGATTTTTAAATGTCTTGGCATTTGATGTGCTTCATTCCACTGTAGAGGAGGAAAAGCTGTAGATTCATTTCTAGTATAAGTGATCTAGCAGTATGCAGAGAGAAGGAGCTGTAAATCCAGGAAAAGTATTAAAGTAGCTATCCCTTTGAATTTAAGAAAAATTTTAACTGAATTCTTTCTGTGTACCTTAATAAATTTGTCAATAGTGCCTTTGTAATATATTTATGTATGGAAAGGTCATTGAGCCACTTAAAATAGTTATTTTGACCTGCCTACAGAACTCCTTATACTTGATTTTGCACAGTAGGTAAAGAAATGAGAATGTCTGACAAATATGGATACATTTTTCAACTTACCATCTTCATGCTGCCAAGATCAATGGTCCTTTCAGAGCTAGTGGTGTTTCTGAACTTTGCTTCAGGAAACAGTTGCATATGATTCCAGCCTCTGAGGGCTGTCATTTTTAACCCTCCTAATCTGCAACTGGCGACAGCTGGATATTGGAGTTTCTTACAAAGAAATCATTGTCTCTTGGCTCTTCATTCTGCGAACTCCTTGAAGCGGTGCTGAACAGCACTTCACAAAAGGTTGGCGAAATCAAACACGAGACTGTGTACATTTATCACAGTTACATAAATCTGAGTAATTATAAAAAGACACATGCTTGCAAGGACTACTGCATGTTAAGGAATCCATAGACACCTAATAATTTGAGCTTTTCTTTACGTGAATCATGTTTAGAATTTGTGGTGCATATTGCTTAGAATACGCTAGATAAGTTTACATTTGATGAAGAAGCAAATTTGTTGTGGTATCTTTGCATGTAATTACTCTCTCAGGTGTATGTTGGTAAATATGGCACCATGTGCTCTGCTGCTTTATTTATAGGATTGCCTTCTATTTCTGTTTATGTTGCTTCCAGATAATTATTTGAGAAATGTAATTGTGCTTATTTTTTTACTTAATTATTTTATTGCTTTGAAGAACTGGTAGTGCACACTCATTTTGCAGGCCTAGGGAATCCCAAATGTTACATTACTGGCAAGCAGTGCTGCTTTGTGCCTGTATGGAGTCATAAGTGAACAACACATGGACCCATAAGAGCTGAAATCTTTTCAAATGGAGGATGTGAGGGGACTCTGGCTGCTGGGAGTAGAGAGAATATCTGTCTGTTTAGTGGTAAAACCTAATGGCCTATGGAGTGGTGTTTCTGAAAGCAAACCTGTAAGTTTCATTTATGTGCATTTAAACTATGTGTAGTCTGAGCTTGATATTTAGGCACTAGGCTGTGTGAATTACATATTTATCTGTGCTTTCCGTGGGATAAATAGGAACATATGGTAAAAGGTGCAGATGCCAGAGTATGAACTTCTTTCATAGTGCAGGGTTACTAGTTTTATTCTCTGTGAGTAGAGGATGAGCAGGTGGGTGAAGTCTGTCACAGTGGTAGACACTGAGCTAGAGTTGACATGAAGTGAGAAACACAGGGTATTAGCATGGTATTTTTGTGATCTACAGCCACATTCATGTTAGTGATTAAATACTGCTCAGCATCAGGTCACTTTATCTGATTGAGTTGTGTTTCTTGAAGAAGAAAGTATTTTCCAACATGAAGCTGAACAGAGGAATAGTTCACCTATTCATAACTCATTTAGTTGTAAACAGAAATTAAGAAATCTCAGTATAGTCAAGGATACTGAAACTGATGTTTTCCTCCAAGAGAAGACCATCACTGATTTGGCCATGTCTGTTGTGAGGGAAAAATCCTGAAGGAACTGGAGAGAATTGCAACTTATCCTGGGTTGTATACTTGTGACTTCTGACGTTTATAGGATCTGGGAGGGATGCTCCTGAAGTGCAAAGACACAGTGGTCCATACTCAATGTAGTGTATTACTGGAACTGTGAATACAGCTGCAGGCACATAAGGAGAGGCTCATTAGTGAAGCAGAGTCAATTTTGGTACTCAGAAAGGAAATGTGTTCCTTCTGCAACCAGTAATTACAAGGTTTTGTCACCTTCATGATCTATGCTATCACAACGACATGCCTGATCTGTAGGACTTCAGGCAGCTTGAATCCTTATGGTATTTTACATTTTTAGGTTATGTATATATTTTTGGAGACTTACTAATTTGTACTTAGACCTTGGTTTCCTTTCGTCCCTCTGAAGCAGATAGGCAGTACCAAAAATAATTCTTTTTTTCCCCCCTCTTTTTTTGTCACTTTTGATGAGATCCTTCAGTTTATCAGACCATTCTTTTCATAAGCACATGTAGGAATTCAAGGTTCGATTTCAGTTTATTTAAAAAAACCCTGAACAAACCAACCAAACAAAAAGGTAATAAAATACATTCTTCAGGATGTAACCTCTCCACCTCAGGGCCCCTTATTTTATCACCTGGGTGAAGACCTAGAGAACAACTGAATTATTTTTAAAAGAAGAACTTGTCTGTCCAAAACAAGAACACATATTCTCGGCCCAAAGCCAGGGTGTATGATTGCCTCTTGGAAATCAGACCAGATACAATCTTTTAATGAGTTTTTACAACTCCATTTTTACCACATTTAAATCTTTTCTTGGTTTATAAATGTAACCTATTGATGTTGTCAAGGATGTCTCCTAAACATTTTGTCCAATTGTTACTCATAATAACTATTGTATAACCTTAACAACCACGTATTTCATAGTTTCTGTAGGTCAGGGCAATTCAGCATGTTATCTGACACCTACTTTGTAGTAATTTCTCTGGATGTAATGTTTGTGACAGAAAGAATTCCAGGTTCTACTGTGAAACTCTGCATAGTGGTAATAGTGCCTAACTGCTTCATGGTGGTGTGCTTCAAAATAGACTGGTTTAAGCAGTGTATAAACTGCTAAAACTGTTCCAGTCTTCATGTTAAGTGAGTGCCATTCAGTGTTTCCTCAATGAGTACTGACTGGGATTCATTAGAGGCAACTTTGTGCAGGGGATTTACATTATTGTACAAGTGATAGATAACAGGTTTGAGTATGGCAGCATGGATTCATACCTATAATGTAAATGAGAAAAATAAATCATAATTAAAGAGTGAAACAATAACGAGCTTATTTCCCTCAGTGGTGTTAAAATTTTGCATGTATATATAGTTAAAATCTATGCAGTTGGTCCCACTGGTTGGTTTTCCATCCACGTACTTTGGCTGATGAGAAATATGTTGGCTGGTGAGGGATTCTTTTGTCTGTCTTGGCATTTCAGTTTGAAATATAACTTCTGTTCCTTTAAGCATTGGGATTTGTGCTCACAGAGCAACTGGATAACACCCACAGAGAAAGCTGATGAAATCTAATCTTGGTGAAAGCTCCTGTCTAATCTCAGTAAAAAAGGGCAACGTAAAGACAAACTCAACAAACCATTGAAACCATATTTGTGAAAGGCAGCCTGTTTTCACACTGAACTGTGGCTCAAATGAAGGGGACATAGGCTGCTCTTGGATAGGTATTTGAGCAACATGATCTAATGAAAGATGGTCTTGCCCCCAACAGGGGGAACGGACTAGATGATTTTTAGAGGTTTGTTCTAACCCAAACCATTCTAGGATTCCGTAATTCATGTTAAATATTTAACATTAATTCTGATCATCTGGTTTTGCATCATTAGCCACTTGGATACTTGATTTGGGCCAGGATTTGGGAGGAGAATTAACCAGAAAATGTAGAAGTTGTATTTTAGTCAGTTGTTGCAACACCAACTGGAAAGCTATCTAGAGAAACTGGGTTGTCAATTCTTATTACTGAAAATGTTTTACCTTTTTTTTATGAAAGTCTTTTCTCTGCACTTTTTCAGTGTTCTATGTCATTCTGTCATATTTACGTAAAAATAATTACATTGAAATATCTTGTTACAGAGTGTCTCTGATATACTGGAGCAGTTTCTGACAAATAAAATGTTTTCCTGTGAGCCAGTGCTCTACAGTTACTCCTTTATATGTGCAGCTTTTTTCAAATTAAGCCAAGAAAATTTCAGTAGCACATTGACACACACACGTACTTTGCTTCTGTATTCATAAGGGCTGCAGTAGACTTGGTTTATTGACAAGGTTTAAAAAAAAACCACACTGACAAGGTTTTTAAAAACATTTGTTGTGCAGTGCTCATGGTCACTGTGGAGATGAGATGTTGTCTGTATTTTGGCTTTGCACTACTCTAAGCTAACCCTCAGTTAATGCTGCAGAATTTTATTTCAGTGGCAATTTATCTCAGCAGATGAGTTGCCCATCCTACTGGAATGGCTTTGCTTGGACTCTTAACTCTTGTATAGGTAATTATCCTTCATTAGCAGTGACTGATACCAGTCACCAATTGTGGAGAATTGGTTACATAGACCTACAAGAGCTGAGTGAGCATGAACTTGGCAAAGTTAGAACACAGCTGGTATAGCTGTGTGCAAGCAAGGTCACGCTGGCCTTGGCAGTAACCGTTATGCAATAACAAGATCTTGCTGTTATCTTGTGGTCACCAGAAGCATGGGAAAAAGAAGTAACTGAGAATCTTCACAAACACAAATTGAGGGCGTTCCTAACCTCTAAGGCTGCTACCAATTGTAGAGCTAAGTTACAGAATATTAATGATCTTATTATATATCCTATATATACTGTGATGTATAATCAAATAAACGCAGCTTGCTGATACTCATATTGAGCGTCCATGCCTCCCGCACTGCGACAACCAATGAATCTGTTTTTCCTCCCACTGAAATAAATGGTAGAGTTTCCCTTAAACACTGATTTTAGAGGAAGGCATCTTTTCAAGACAAGAAACTATCTTGAATTTATGGCTACAGGTTGGCTAAATAAGCATATGCCTAGATCTGCCTTTCATCTGCAAAGTAGGTTTTTGTGTACTCATAAATCATGAGTTGAAGTCTCAAAAAAATTACTGAGTCATTTTGGTTTTACATGTAGAATATTTGTATGTTCTTTTTTAATCTTTTGAGGCTGTTGAGTATGTTCTATTTCTTTCTGCAATGGTGAGGGAGAGAAACATCTTTTAAATAAAAGTTAAAATTCTTAATCTGAAGCTTCGAGAAAAACAACAAATACCATTGGACTTTGTGATACCATAGTAAGACTTGTCAGCATTAGCAATAATAGAGAAAAGTGAGGAAAGGCTGGTTGTGTTGGACAATAGCTCATGTTCTTTGAAGGACAGTACACACCTGAAGTTGGAGGTGGTACACTATGCTATGGACTTATGCAAATAAATTGAAACATTACTTTTGCTGAGGATTATTTGTATTTGCAACACAACTCTGCTTTTGTCCTGATGATGTTTAGCTTTAAACTTTGCCTTCCTGTTAGAGCTTTGAAATTTGTCCAGGGAAGACTTGTGGTAAATTTTGTTGACTTGCAATGGTCACATTCCTTTTCTCCTTTTTTCCTTCTCCTCTTCCAACTCAAAGTAGACTTCTTGCAAATTTGGTTTCCTTTCTGTCAGCGATGACAACTGCTTTGTGCTCAGCTGACTCTCCATGTCTTTGAGGACTTGTGGTTCAGGAATTGTCTCTTCCATTCCCAGGCATGGAAGTGTAGCTGGTGTAGTGTATGAGTCATTTTATTTTTAAACATCCAATTCATTATTGCTGATGCTGTGAGTTTCATTTGTACAACATCTCTTTCAATATATGGACTGATAAACTGCATTGTGCTTTACAATAGGATAGAGATTTGGCTTTTATATCATGGTTGAATGTTGTTCAGAAGTGATTAACTGTTGAACAGCACATGCTGGCTAGCCTAGAAAAGGATGTGATGATCTTCTCTAACCATTCAAGTATTGCAGGTAAGTTCTGTCTACCAAAATAACCTTACACGCCAAAATCCCAAACCTTGCACACTGTGCTTAGAGTTTCACTTCCACACGTCAGTTTGGCAGCCAGTGCTATCTGATTTTGTAAGTATGATGCAATTCTACTAAATAAGATAGGCTTAATTTCTAAATTCAGTGGAATATTAAAATAGTCCCGAGCTAATGCCCTTTCTGAAATTCAGAAAAATCTTTTGACTGTTAGTATATGGATGGTCATTTGGGGAAATGTATGTTCTACTATAGGGCAAAGGAATGCATGTCTCATGGAAGAGTGGGCCGCTTTACGACTTACAGACTGGGTTGTTCTGCAATCGTGGGAATAATAACTCATAAATATGAATTTATTCTTCTTTCATTGTGTCTCTGAGGTAGGAACTTCTGCTTAAAATAAGCCAACATTTTAACTGAGCAACTTTCAGACATTATTTGGATTATACGACGAAAAAGGAGTTAGAATTATGATAATACACACTGTAAAAGAAAGAGAGGCAAACAATGATAAGATACAACTTCACATTTCAGAAGACAGGGTCTGGTTTAGAGAGAGCAATTTCTCTTAAAGGAAGAGAATCCCCAGAGAAGTTACGGGGAGAGTAGTTATTCTGAAACATGAGTCTGAATTAATGAAATAGCTATATTACAAAATATAGGGACATATTTTTAACAAAAGCGTTCTGCCTGTGAAGGAGAAGGGTGCTCTAAGACATTCCTCATTGTGACATGCTTCACTGCTACCTGAATGGCTTTCCTAAAGCTTGTGAGATGTTAATGCATATTGTGAGGTGGATAAGAAAACTTCTTGACTTAAGTGAAACATTGAGCTCCTCTGATCAGGTTGATTATGGTCTGTTTCATCAGATTATGATATACAAATGCAGCAGCTGTTTAAAATTATATTTGTCATGTGCAAAGCAACTGACTTGAGTATACTGAACATACAGTCTCTTCATTAGCAGCTAAAACTCTCAAAGTTTTCTGGAGGGCATATACTGGTTCATCCTGGAAGGGTTCATAATCCTGACTAACCTTTCTACAAGCAATTAAACTGGTATATAAACTTTCTGTGGATTCTTTTTTATGTTTGTAAGCCTAGCTTTCTGTTGAGTGGTGTTCCTCTACAGATTTTATTCTTTGTAAACAGGAATTCTCCACTGAATGTAATGTAAATTGCAAGGGCATGTTCTGTTGTGAAGAACAAGTTGTGAAAATATCTGTCAGAAATAATTACAGTTGATCCTGCTGTCAGGCAGGCATATAGATTAGATAATTTACTGGTGTCTTCTTCAGCAATGTTTTTTATAGCACTGTTACCAGGAATATCAGAATTTAACTCAAAGCAGTGGTAAAATCACTTGTAAGGAAAAAAGGGAAAGGTTATTGATCTTCTGTTCTTGACTTTGCACAGTGGTTTGTGACATGGGCTTCCTCATCCATGACTGTGTACAAAACAGAGTATGGTCCTTTATACTGTTTTTTGAAGATGTAGAGGCTCTTGAATGTACAAATCCTTCTCTATTTTTCATTGTCATCTAAGGGTATCTTAAAGGTCTCAAACAACTGCTTCTTCCTTTTAAAGGTTTTGCTTAAATCAGATGTAGCATACAGTACGAGCCTTTGTAGAAAGCTAAGGACATGTGGAGGTAAATGTGCCATGTGGTGGTCTGAAGTGGATATTTTGCCAAGCTGTGTGTGAAAGTAGCATTTAGGCATCCTGTAGAGTAAGTTAATGGAAGAAGTTGCAAGGCTGTTGGTTGCCATTGTCCTCTGCACCCCCATTCTCTAGATTATATGACCTGCTGCAATTGTCCAGGACAGCAAAGCAAAAGAGAAAGATGTCAATGTGTAGTTGGCAGGACCAGGATAAGGTAAATTCATAAACAGCTCTTGTAATTGGTAGAAATTGAAGTGTCAGTATTATTCTTAGAGTGAACAACAACACATCTTTCTAATGTACTCTTTCCTCACTGATATGCAGCTGCCAAATTTTATTGATTGCTTCTCTTGATTTCTACTCCTGATTATTGCAGCACTGATGTTTTGGGGAGTTTAATTTACCTTTCCTCGGAAAGTTTCTTTATTTCTCCAAATCAGGAATTGTCTTTTCCATGTAAGCCTTCTAGGACTGTGCAGAAAGAAGATCCAGGATGTGGATTCCTTAACCTTGTCTAATGGCACATTTAAGGAATAATGAATTACTTTTTTGCCTTTTGGACTGTTTGCTATCCTAAAGGTCCATAGGAACAGAAATGTTCTCTACCCCTGACAGGTATTGCAGTCTCTGACTACCACAATGCATGGTAGTGACCTCCAGGCTTTTTAATCCAACAGAGTATACCAGTCCATGAAAGTACTGGCCTTAGAAAGGCTGCAGAGGTTTTGAAAGAAAAGAGCTACTTTAATGAGGGAAAATGTACCATTCAGTATTCCTCACTTCTGGTATCTGTACAGTTTCAAATTGGAGCATGGTACAATGGAGCAAATGGTCCCAAAATGAGCTTACTGTCCCAACTCTGACCCAGGCTTCCTTAACCCTGCTTGTCTTTAACTCCTTTGACAGCTATCTTCTCCTGGGACAGAGGTGAAACTTCGACAGACCGCATTTGTTGAGCAGTGCTCCCCAGAATTGCAACTGTCCCCAGGAAAACCTCAGAACAATTATAAGTGTGTCACCTGGACAGAATGTAAAACTTCACCGTCAGACTACCCTATCCCTGGTAAGGCATCTCAGCGCACCTAATAACTGATGAAAACAAGCTTAATAAAAATGAAAATCCCCATAAAAGAAGTGGACTTCTAGGAGATATTACATGTTTGTGAACTGTTTATATTTCACTGTGATGAGTATACTGTAAAAATGCATGCAAAGTAATCAGAGGACAATGAGTACAGGAAAGGAAACACTTTCTAAAGGTGTTTTGTAGTTTGTTGTTTGTAGATGTTGTTTTTAGTCTGCCTTCTCTGAGGGAGAACTGATTGTGATCACAGATTTCATTTATAAAAAATGCCTGTGACTGTTATGACCTAGCAGATTTTGATTTGGTCAGTCAATGAATCTTTGAAATAATACTGGATGAAAATGAGGTGTGCATGACAACCTGGATGGCATGGTGAGGTAGACATGACCTATTTAGTTGTATATCTTACTGTGAAGTTTCACCTCTAAATCTAATTTTAGTATTATTTCTCTTCTGTAAGCACGAATCCTGTGCAATCCTGTGCAGTCCTATGTGAATTCTGTGAATCCTTATGTACATATTTACCTCTATGGTTTAGAGAATATTGCATATGCTGGTATTCCCTTTAGACCTGTATTTAAATTTTTGCAAAATCAAGGTCTCCATACACTTGTAATATTCTTCTCTCTGTAGTATGGATGTGTAGTATTATAAGTAAAATATAATAATAGTGTATATCTTAATATAAAACATGAGTTAGCAGTACTCAGTACAGTGTGACTGTTCTTCATCATCATCATCATCATGGCCAGGCTTTGCGAATGAAGATTTGGGAAGGGCTCTACCCACACTTGCTATAAGCACGCTGATGGCTAAAAAGGCCAATGTGAGGTAGACAAGTCTGGTTGCAGAAGGCACTGCAGAAAGACTTCCCAGGTGATATTGACAAGACGCGATTCTTTCTACCTTGTCTTTTCTCCTCGAGGGTGATCCTGCATGTGTTCTCAAAGGGAGCAGCAGCGTTATAGATGGTGTGTCTCCAGGCCTCCCGATTGGAGGCCAGGGTAGACCAATGGTGATGATCAATATGGCCAAGGCTGAGGGATTGTTTCAGGCAGTCCTTGTATCTCCTCTTTGGGGCTCCTCTCTTGCGGTAGCCAGCGGCAAGTTCCCATAGAGCACGATCTTCGGGAGGCAGTAGTCCTGCATCCTGGAGACGTGCCCTACCCAGCACAGCTTTGTTCTCAGCAGCATGTCCTCAATGCTCGTGACTGTTGCCTGTTCAAGGACAGATGTGTTGGTCACACAGTCAGTCCAGTGGATGTTTAGGATTGTACGGAGGCAGCGCTGATGGAAGCGTTCTAAGAGACGCAAGTGGTGTCGGTAAACGACCCATGATTCAGACCCATATAAAAGAGTAGGACTGTTCTTAGTTCGTATTTAATGCCCATACATTAATAAAAAATGATTAATCATTATAATATGCTAAAACACTAACAAGGACTAAACATAGTTCTGAATGACATTCTGTGTTAAATTAATTTGCTAAGCAATGCTGAGAACAACTGCAGAAAATCACAAAGCATTCTTGTATCTTACATAGCCAGTTTTTTTTTTTTGTCTCACTTGGTGAGCCGTTTTCTTAGTTTAACTTGGCTTTTTGCTTTGTGGTCTGTTTACTTTGATAAACATAGTCAATTGAGTTCACAATAGAATATGACTGGGTAAACTTGGCTTCCTAGGTACTGTTCCTGCTGGAGGTATGACTGTTGGCTGCATGTTAAATGAATGCATGGGAAGTTGGAATAAATGAGGCATTTAAATTCGGACTCAATGATCTTATGCTCTTTTCCAGCATTAATGATACTATGATTCTATTTCCATTTCCAGGTGCCCAGTTTGTCATTTTAAGTAGATCTGCCGTTAAACAATGCTTGGGTGTTGCTGGAGAGGAGATGTTAATGCTGTTGTAGATGTTCTTCCCGGCATTACTTTTGGGTCAACCTGCATGATAGGTTGCAAAGGTGCGAAGCACAGATGCAAAGCCTGTACCAGGGATTCATTTTGGTGAAAGCAGAGTTGTCATGACCGTGCTCAGGTCTGTTCATACCTGTCTATGAGAGGTTAGAGAAGAGATAGGACTTCTCATGAGTCTCTGTTGTGGAAGAATTCATGGCAGCTCAAAATGCAAGACAGACTCAACCTGTGCTTATTAAGACACTTATGTTCTGACTAGATGAGTACAAGAAAAAGTCTTTGTTCCCTTTTCATTTTGTGTCTAGTGAAGTTTTGCTCAGTATCTGGGTTCTCTAACATGTCCAGCACCAAATCAACAACAACAAGAGTCACTGAAATGGTGAAGTTGACAGTTTATGGCTAATAGAGGGAGGATCTAGGCTGAAGCATGCAGGCTCCCTGCCTCCCCAGAAGTCATTTCTTGTACATTTTGGTGGGATGAATGTGTTTAAAAAAAAACAAAAATAGTCCTCTGAGACCATAGTCTTTGTTAGCTAGATGTACAAGGAAGTAATTATTTACGTATTTTAGGTATAGGAAAGAACACTGAAGTTGTCACCATATGTCACTCAGAATATTTTTAAATATGCTGAAGCCGTGTAAATTCTGTCTTAGATCTGAGGATAAATAGTACACAGGAACATCTCCAATATGCTGTGTTGGATACTGAAATCATGTCATTCACAAACATGTGTATATCTCATGTATCTAGTCTACCAAGAACTGTTGTGTTTAGTTTAGAATTTTTTGCTATTTCTTGAGACATAAATTTACATGATCAGAATGTAACACTGTTCTTGAATCTTCTTTTTTTCAAAGATAGTATCTTCAGCTGTAAATTACAAAGACCTGCTACCTGCAGGTAAAATACTTCTATAAATTAGAAGACCTGAGAGATTGTGAGAGGAAACTGAAGTAAAATGGGTTTTGGATAAGACTGAGGTAGGATCACTCTGGTAAATTACAATTCAGACTAATCTACTGAAATGATTCTCTCTTGTTATTTCAAATAATGTGTTTCATTTAAATTATGCAGCATGGGATACTTAGCCCCTCTGTGAGCAAAGTAGAGGCAACTGGCAGAAAGGATTAATTTTGATGCTTTTTTATTGCAGAGATTTAGCCCTGTAATTTAGAGAAACAGGCTAAATAGGAGAACAGGACAACACTTCTTTTCTGTTGTGTTGTGGTGAATAAGTGGCATTTCTGCTGATTGAGTTTCAGCTTTGGAGAGTGTCTGAATAGTTTTATTTATGTTGTATTATTTCACATATCTATGTATACTTGTAGAAAATCAATAACGGTGTAAAATGTCTGCCTTCTGTTTAAACTTGTTCTGTGTAAATTAGAAAGTTTTTTATGGCATTATGTCTCACTGGCTGTCTACTGCAGTGAATTTGTTTGACTCATTAAACATCCTAGAGGACAAGATGTCCATAACCCAATCAGATGAGTTCATGAACTACTAAAACCTGACTTTCTCTTATTTCTCACTTCTGATTAATTACCCTTTCAAAAGTTATTTGAAGTCGAAGGATGAACAGAAAACCTCTATTCCATTAGGAAAACAAGCTAAAAGTTCAATTCTGCATGGAAATGATTGGTATCCTGCTTAGCAATGTCTGCAAAAATGCCAGGGTTTACCCTTAGATGCTTCAGGACAAGAGCTGTTTCAGCCTGTCCAGTTGACAGAGTGTTGGCAGTCACCTACAGGTATCTTTCACTTGAATTGCAAGGGCTGCATGTGGCATCTTTCAGGTGTGCTCTCCTCTAATGTAGGAAGGCTGAAATTGCGCTTGTATAACTCACAGAAGGTTTTGTTAGGTAACAATGAATGGCAGCTGAATATAAAGTTTAGAACAAGAAAATAGCAGCAATAGTTAGCCAGATTTCAAACATCTTATACTAAACAGTGTGGCTAGTTCTTATTTATTACTGCAAGTATCCTGAAGTATTATTATATTAAAGATCTTTTCAAAATGCAAATGGGTCTAATAAGCATCAAATTTTTCTTAAGTGGAGGTATTACTGCTATAAAAAGCTGTGGCATAGATTTAAAGTTCTGCATTCAATCACATTTGTTAATGTGGATCAACTCAGGCCAAAAAACAAATGCCAGAAGACCCTTTTACTGTTAGCCCCAAATAAAACCCAAACAAACCCCCCAGATACCAAACAAAAAACAAAGGAAAGATACAAACAAAATATCTTGTGAAAGCAGCAACTGGTTTGGTAAACAATGCATCCTGGAAGATTGTTATTCGAGTTGATGTGCTATCAAGGTTAAAAAATGAAATTCAAAAAAATCCAGTGTTATAGAACACTTCTTGTGAGGTCTGGATCTGATTGTAAGATTCTATCTTTTGGTTTCTTTTTAAGGCTTGTATGTTTGTAGTGGTAGGTACTTAAATAACACAAAATCTAAGCCTTCCGTTTTGTCTTGCCCGGAAGAAAAGTGTATTGAGGACAAAGAGCTCAGGGGAGACACAGAGTAACTGATAAAAAGTGTTTGTACTCATGCGGAGAGGTGGGGCAGGGGTATGGTTACTTTTACAGCCACACTTACAAATGCTTTAAGGACTCATCCTGTTTCAGAAATGTTGTGTTCCTTTTCCCATTTCCCACCATCATTTACAAATTTCAGCCCACTGTAGCTTAAAACTCACTGTCACTCAAAAGAATGTGGAATCTGTTATTATTCATGTCTCCGTTTCATTTCACACCAAACCCAGAAATGTGTCCTAGAAAAGAGAAATCTTGAAAAAAAAAAAAATCCTGGTTTTCACATGGAAATAGTGTAGTTTATTCAGCTGCTCATTTCTGCACTCCAATATGTTTGGCTTCAAAAATGAAATGCAAAAAAAGGAAGCAATTGGCTTGAAAAATTTTATTTTGTTCCTTTGTTTCTAGTAGACCAGGATGAGTTTCTGCTAAGTCTTCCTTAACAGAAACCCAGTCTTCCTTAACTTTTGCTTTGTTTAGGAATTTGACCCATCCTATTTATATTCATTTTCAGTAGGTGG